ACACTCTGAACACACAAACTTATAATCTGTTAGAAAACTACACTCTGAACACAAACTTATAATCTGTCAGATAACTACACTCTGAACACACAAACTTATAATCTGTTAGATAACTACACTCTGAACACACAAACTTATAATCTGTTAGATAACTACACTCTGAACACAAACTTATAGTCTTTCAGAGTTTAGACACAACGTCTCTGGTGGCTCAGAGACAAGTGTGGAGGACGAGGTTTGTTCACTCAGGACAGTAGCTGCAGACTGACTGCTGTTTATCCTGCAGACTGCTGCAGAAAGCTCCGCCCTGCTCTGCTCTGATTGGATAAAGCTGTGGGGTTCGTTTGATTTGTTGAAAGCAGCGTCTGTTTAGCTTTAACCAGACCACAGCAGAAAACAAGCAGGTTCTCCAACATGAAGCAAAATGACGTCGGTCATGAAATGAGCATATCATGATGTAATTCATTTACCAGGGCAAGTTTTTTTACTGATATTGTCATAAATGATATGAAATGGCCCAGCCCTAGTTCTGACTGCCTTCTTGTCACAGTACTGCAGAGTGAGTTAGAAATGTAAAACAGCTCTTTGTGCCACAGGTTCTGTTATGTGGACCAGTTGGTCCTAAACTCCATGAGATGCTGGACGAACAGATCGTGGTTCCTCCAGAGTCTCTGCAGGAGACCGACGAGTTCCACCTCATCCTGGAGTATAAAGCAGGTACTGCATGCAGGAAGCTTCTGTTGCTCTGAGGGCCCGCTCTGACTTTGGGTCTGGGTCTCTGGCTGCAGGTGAACACTGGGGTTCCACCCGGGCCCCTCAGGCTAACCGCTTCATCTTCTCCCATGACGTGTCCAACGGAGAGATGAGCTCACTGGAGACGTTCGTGGCCAGTCTGGACGAGTTCCAGCCTGACCTGGTGGTCCTGTCAGGGCTCCACATGATGGAGGGTCAGGGCAGAGCGCTGTGGGAGGACCGCCTGAAGGAGGTCAGTGAACCTGTGCAGAGTACAGCAGGACAACCTGCTGCTCTTTATCTAATACCAGAACCTGCATTCAAATACCTGCCAGTATGGAGTACTGATGCAGGTAGGGATGAACCATAACCAGGGTGGAAATTAAAACTTTTCCCACCAGCCACAGTGACGGCCACTCAAACTTTTTACCACCCACTATTTGTTTCTGTAACACGGTGGTATTTAGACAATTCATGGTCCTGGTGGCCTAATTATATTGTTTGTGCTACAATCAGATAATAACACTCAAGATATGTTAGAGAGTATTCAAGCCAGCCTGTTTGACAAAATTAAAATGATGGACTTTTTGAAGTCTCTACTTTTCCTAACTTTTTGCTGGTATGTAGGTGGAATACCTGTTATTTTAGGAGGGCTACTTGACTGGAAAAAAAGCTTTTTAACCTTAATGATATAGGAGAAACTTTCAAGGTGGAAAATTTATCTCCCTTGAATAAAATCAGCCTTTGTCTTTTATCACTTGTAGTTTATGTTCTACAGGCTACCAGCATGAAAATATGTCTTCTGTTCTAAGTGAGATTTCATTAGCAGATAGAAATCCCTCTGATGATCTATTGTCTCGGAGTGGATCATTTCTATTTTTACTTTTGAAAAAGTTTGTCACACAGTTCATTTTGTTACTTAGTTTGCCTGGGTTTTCGTTTTGTTCTGCTTCAAAAAATAGCCTGCAGAGAAAATTTTAGGGGGAAAAAGGAGCAGATTTGTTTATTTTATTTTATTTTATTTTATTTTTTGGCACTGTCAGCTGATCTTCAGACGTTTCCTAGAGGTTAAAAAACACTGTTTCCTTAAGTTTCCTTTGGTCAAGTGATCGTGGTTCTTGAGTTAAAATAGTTAACAACTAATATGAAGGTTTTTTTTAACTAACATTTATGTAATATTCACACATTTACAGTTAGAAATAGCGTTCTTAATCAGCTGATTTCAGGTTTTTGTTCTTGATGCCTACAGCACTAGCTTTGCTGTTTGCTGACAGATGAAACAAAATTGTCTGCCCAGTTAAACTCACCATTGTCCGTTTTTTTCCCTTTCCATTTATTGGTTAAAAACCCTGCAACTTCCGGTTCTTCCTTTGGTTCCTCTTGAGAAAGGACTTTGTTACCTGCTGCCCGCTTAATCCAGATATGTAACGCCACTTTCAAGTTGGTGTTTTAATTTTCTCCTTCTGATAATGGACTTTTACCTGTATAATGAGCCTCTTAATCTGCTCGCACATACGGGGGGTTGATGGTGGCAGGCGGACCACACAGATGACAACACGCAGGAAAGGAAGAGGGGAGAACTTGTATTTCTAGCTGCAGAATGGGTTGGAAGATGGTTGTTTGATGTTATTTAATCTTTTTTTAATGTCCTACAGGCTCTGAAATGCAAATTAAAATTAAACTAAGTATTTGAAAAAGGTCAGTAGCACGATTTGAACGCCTTTTATTTTAGTTCACGCACCTGCCATGGTGGCGGCTGCATTGTTCAGATCTACACGCAGCTTCATAATTTTACCCACATTTGGCCAGTGGCGGGTGCTAATTTCCATCCCTGACCATAACATGTTTTAAGAGCCGATACCGAGAACTTTCTACTTCTAACAGCCAATAACCGATAATAACCAATAACTTTCTCCTTGTAATGACCAATAACCGATAACGACCCACAACTTTCTCCTTCTAACGGCCAATAACTGATAGCAACCCATAACTTTCTCCTTCTAACGAC